ATCACTCTGTAATCAGAAGGGGGGCAAAGTACAATGGAAATCATTCATTTGTCATGATTATTATTGGTCGTTAAAGGTGAACCATTCCAAATAAGTTCCCCTCAATGAATAGGCGAAATTTGTACGTACTGGGTCTTCCTGTACTGGCCACTTTGTTAGCCGTAGATTTCTCCATAATGCTCCACTCTGAGACGCTGGATACGTCCACCTTAATACCTTGGTAATGGTAAAATGGGGCTGTATCATCATCTAGACATACCTATGTATCTAACAAAGTTACATTCATCGAAGTTTCATTTTCTAGTATTCCGCAATACCCAAAAGCCAATTCGCTAATGAAAGGAAAAGAATATACAATTGATTGTATCAAAATAGTGCACCACTTAAGCTGAAGTTATTTCAATGAAGTTGGTCCATGGAGTATGAAAACATACCATGTGGTTTCTTTACAAAAGTTCTTAAGGAACGTTAACCGTACATGTATTTACGACATAAAGCTCACAACAGGACGCACATGCAATGAAGTCTAATTCTTTTTAACACGTAAAGGAACAATGTAATTAGTCGAAGGGAAAAATAAAGAAAGTAACGAAATCAAATCCCTACCTGTCTCATTCAACTTCTCAAGAAGCAAATTGAGTTGCTCTTCAGTTTCTTTCTCCGTTTCCACTGCTTTCTTTAAATGGTCACGAAGTCGTTCTCCTAAATTTTTGGGAATAACGATTGAGTTTACGAAAACATATTACAAATCGTTTATAATATGATATACTGTGGTGATAACTGTATTTGTAAAACATGAAGATTAACAGCTAAATTACCAAGGTTCGAAATTGACTTTTTAGCGTAATGCATCAAGAAGTCAGTTAATGTATCAACTCGGTGGGCTGGAGTCATTTCCTTCGTTATTTTTGCTGTTGGCCTCAAGTAAGACCACAGTCTCTCCATCACCTCGCCATCACTCATCCCGAACCCTTCCAGCCGTCTTCCACTGTAGTTGACCTGGCGTTACAAAAGACCAAACAAAGCTTCATGAAAACAATAACTGTTTTAAAGTAAGCATGCATGTGTTTTTCAATACCTTTCAACTCCTCAAAAGTGTTCAAAAGGAAAATATTTCAAAATACCTGACAAGAAACTTTGTGTCCATAGCAGTAAAATGCAGGTATCGCAAGAGTAACATTTTCAAGCAATGTTTCCTGGTGTGTATTCTACAGAGAAGATAAATTAAAAACAACAGGGCATCATTTAACAAGCAAAAATGCCAGAGTACCATGACCACAACTTAATTCAAATAAAACCGCTAAAAAATCTTACTCTCAAATGTGTATCCAGCACACATGCAATATCATAGAAGAAGCGAATGTTGATAGCTTTATCTTGCACATGATTTTTAATCCATTTTAGCAAATACACAGCATTTCCAATCCTGTTTAATAAAAATATAATCATTATTAGCCACAATGTCCATGCAGTAATTTATCTGTTCCCTAGTTTCATTGAGTACCCTAATAGAAATGGTGTATAAAACAGAGTTATGCTATACAGCAGTACGACTATCATATACAAATTCTTTCCTTAGGAACCTAAAAGTGACATGTCTCTTAATTTATGCATCCTACAAGGCACTCTGGTTACATATTTCTTAACAATAGCTGACCAATAATGTACAGATTTCCTTTAGCATGTACATACTCTTCTCCTCTCTTTAAGCTGAAAAACTTCAGTGGCACTTCGTGCTTGCAGCCTCCACCAAAGAGGGCTGTCTCATCGAGCTTTGTGGATTTGTTTTTGGAACGGAGATTGGAACCAGCTTGAAACTGATTACACTGCTCCTACAACAGAAAACATTTAACTCTTAATCTTCAACTTCCTTTCTACCTTTTCTTAAGATGTCATTTAAAGCATAAGTATTAAAGATAAAAACAGAACAGGAATTAAGATCTATGTAGCATTCATGTATGTGTAGCATTCAAAGTAAATATGGGTTGTTGGAGGTGAACCCTCACATTAGAAATTAAACATTACATTATGGGAAAGGTCGCAAGGAAAATATTGGCAGAAAATAATAATCATTCATCAATTTCTCATAAAAATTTAAAAAATGGGACAACCAAATAAATTTACTGCTTGATAACAACCCCTCCTCTCTCATTCAGGCTTGAGACCAGCAAGAGTGACAGTAGACCCCCTTGGCAGAGTTAGTTGTGTAAGCAAATACAAAGATATTACCTTTAAAGACCATAAATCAATTACAAAAAAGAGGGAAAAAAACTGTATTTAAAAAAATAAATAAATAAAAAATAGAAAAAGATCAAGGAAAAGAGGGGGCTGCAATAAAGATTATGTACTTGTTCTTGAAGCTGACAATTCACACAGTTCTTGTAAATTAAGTTTATGGAACAAACTAACAATATATTTGAGCTACATGTATTTTGGGCAGAATGTTACCAAAGTAATTAACCCTTCAAACTGTACCATATTTAAATTATTCAACACTAACATCATTATTACAAGTAACAAACATAATTGTTACTTTTGGTCTCTCATTGCAATGGTTGAGTAGTGGTATGAGTACTGATGGGTAACAAAAGGTTAGAGCAACGCAACAAAATACAAAGTAAGAGAAAAAGTCCTTTGGTTCACACACCATTGACTTGCTACTTGGTCTTTTGCTGTAATTAGCTAGAAATGCATCTACTTTTTCTGGGCTGATGAACAGTTCCTCTCCATGATTTGAGGACTTTCCACTAGTTCCCGCACTGCATTTGTGGACACATCCAAACAATGCATCAACAGAGATAAATAAACTTCCCTTTTCCTACAATCAGATGCCAAAATCTTATTAGAAATGTCATGTTAAAAATATTTCTTACGCCTAAATGAATGAAAAACAAAGGAATAACTCATGCTAAGACCAGCTGCCACACTATGAGGACCACTAGGAAAAAGAGAGAATCATAAAGATTCAAAACAATGTTTCTTGCTTAAATTATATCATTCATTATGACAACACATATAGTGATAGTCATTTGAGATTTCTAAAGGTAAATATTACCCACTTAGACATTTCATCTGAAGGATGACTTATCACAAACCTTAGGACATGCAGGACATTCATGATCATTCTCATAAGAAGGATTGAAATGCTTCAGGTTACTCAACGTGCTAGACATATACTGGAACTCGCAGAAACAATCTCCAACAAGGAGCCGGTAGATGTCCTTAATCTAAAGGAAAACAAATAATTTATTTATTGTATAAATTAAGAGAATAAAAAGGAATTCATAAGCATAAGATAAAAAATTACTAAATGAATACTTACATACGTAAACCTTTGAAGCAGGTGGGACCAGCCACTGCAGTGCCTGACATATTGACCTTAAAGACACTCTACATTCTAAGAAAATGTATTGGAGCAAGGCCATAAATTCAAGGTCAAAGGCTACCTGGGGCTGTTTTGGAGTAGATGGCCAGAAACCATTCCTGACCAGCGTTATGGCTTCTGGTTCATGCTCGCAACATTTGATTTTGATGGGATTCTGCTGCCCTGTATAAAGACAAACACCATAGAGTGTCCATAGTCGTATTCTTCTATAATAATTGTTTATTAATTCCTGTCTGTGTTGAAAAAAACAATTAAAACACAAACAAAGACCTTCCTGGAAGAGGTAACCTAACTATTTAAATATAAGTATAAGTAAAAAGTAGTACTAGTAATTGCAGACTGGCAACCTATCACAATATAGTTACATATTGCACAGCTGGTAGTTACTTACCATGCAAACCGACAGCCATAATGTCACGCACATATCCATGATCCATGGTGTGAGGTGTGGTCCATACACACTCACCAAACTGATATGGCACAAATCTTCCATCCTAAGAGCATAAAATATCCTACATGAATCAGGTGAATACAAATCACACACCATTTAAATCAGCAAACTCTTTCAAACTTGCCAAAAATAAACTTTACTTTGTTCTGAGTATAGAGCAAATTACATGTATGCTTGCAAGAAAAAATTATCCTTACTGCTTTCGCTTTTTCCTCTGTATAAAAATGGGTCAGGTTTCATTGACATAATACACATTGAAGTTGAGAAAAAACTACATCAAGTGAAGTAATTGAATAGAGGTGATATATGGAGTTGTAAGAAAAAAAAGATGGATATCTCTGCAATTAAACCACAAGACAACGTACTTACAAATGAAATTGCCTAACGGCCAGAGTACACAAGAAATCGGGTTTCACAACATAATTGAAAAGGTGACTGGAGGAGATTGTCCTCCATAAATCTTCAACTCACTTTCCAAACTTCCGGGTGGTGAAGTGATCTACCGCCTGCGTGAACTAAATTGATGTGATCTGCGCATAGGAATTGCCCTGGACTGCAGTGAAGGCATCTGCCGCACGCCTCTTCTTCGCAAAAAGGAATGACACACATCTGCCCCAAAGGCAAAGCCTGTCTGGTCAACAGCGCTGAGACGAGCTGCTCTCTCGCACTGAGCCAAGACAATGCCAGCGTGGCTTTCCTCTTGTGGTAAGCTTTTAACTTGCGCTTCAGTCGCACTTTTTTACTTTTAGATCTTTGGTTCGTTCTCAAACCATGATATTCGTCAATATGGGGAAGGTCTCCTTGGTCTGGAGAAAAACCGCCGCACGTGTTTAGAGAAGATCCGGCGACTACAGACATTGTATCAGTTAACTGCTGGGCGGCATATCGAACTGGAACACTAAACTTCGACTTTCTTATAGCTTTTCCTCCTTTAAAAGTAACTACATTCAAACTTTTTTTCGACCTAAAATCGCGTTTAGGAGGCATAATGGTATCCAAAGCTTTTCCAAAGCCGCGTTTCAAGGGTTCGCAGGCTATGGCACCAGGCCTTGAGTCCTTTCAGGTCTCGATAGGTAAATAGGCCCTACTTTGACCGCTTGTATGCGTTAATTTGATTCTAATTAAATCCGTATACAAGCGGTTAATTATGAACGAATCGGGTACTTAAAGATGGCGGATAAGGCCAAACGAAGATTTACCTGAAATAATGAGCTTAATGGGAAAAGATTACAGAAGAATCTCGGGCTTAGCGAAGCCTCTTGTGGAATGCAAAACAGAGGTGAGAGTTTACTAGGCACATTGTGTTCACTACGCCCAAGTAGTACGGGTAGTTAACGCAAGTAAGTACGTTTTAACAAAGTCAAGTTCAAGATTGCACAAGACTTGGCTATAAAATGCCGGTACATGTAGCTGCAAGGGGTTGTGGCTACCGACTTTTCCGGTTTATACGCAGATTTCTTTTTCTTAGCATTGCTCGTATCAATCTAAACCGTGACGAATTACCTAATAGAAAAGTTATTTGAAACCTAGAAAAAAAAATGACATCGAAGGCACGTGAGGTTTGGTTAATTGTTTATTTTTAATTGAGCTTACATAATGCTAAGGATTTACGTATATTTTTCTCCTCGGCAAAATAGCGATTACATGTAGTTGCTGCTTTAAATAAATTCTTCAGGACAAATTTATCATCAGGTTCTTTTTTATTATTTCTTGTCTTGTTTTGCTTTGTTTTGTTTCTATTTACCCTCCAGCATAATGTAACTTGTGATTAAATCAACCAAATGCAGAATATATTCTTTGTTTCCCCACTAAAATGAAACAAACAAAAGTTTAGTGAAAGTCTCATTTTTTTGATGACAGCTCAGCAAATGATCACAGTGTGATAAATGTGTGATAAAAGTGTCCCTAAAGATCAGCCACATGTCAGCTGTTAAAGCACAAAGGGAAGATTTGTTTTTTGCTGCACTTTGGGATCACAGAGAGTAACTTAACTGTTCAATAAGTGTCTTCTTCTGAATTTCAAATTTGGCAAAGGTTACAATTTTGCTCCCTAATGTGACTTACTCAAAGAATAAAAAAGGAAACTATAAGAAATAAATTAAAAGCTCTGTTGCTGCAAAAAATCACATTTGACATAATTTATTTAAAATTTATAGTTTTTTTCTATCCATTTCATTTTCATTAAGCCTTCATCAATTTTCTAATAAGCTGATAGGTTTATATTATGAATTATATTCAGCTACCCTCTATTTATACCAAATGGAGGCTGTTATGTTTATTATCCCTCAATATTTTTCAACATGCGGGAAAATTGTTTATGAACAGCCTACTGTTGATGGTGTGGGAGGTTTACTTTTCAGTGTCCTCTGAAATGATTTTATGAACAAAAGATACATGTTCCTTCTTCTAAAACAACAACACAATTAATGCTTTTCACCTTTAATTAACCTTTTAACTCCATAAGTGACCAAGACAGAATTTCTCCTAAGAATATTAATACACTATCAAGCAGACAAGTGATGAGAGTAAAGAAGGATAATAATTAGGGGATTATTAGTTGATCCAAAAACAAACTCTCCAAACTAACATCACAAGAACTGTATGGGAGAGAGTACAGAGAATTACTAGTGAGATCTTGGGAGTTTTAAACACAGAGTTTTCCGTATTGGACATAAGGTTGGAAAATTAGGGAATATCACTTCAGGTACAGTGTTGGATATCCCCCAGTTTTCTGTCATGTAATGGGTTTAGACCGGTTGCCTTAACTAGCAAATAAATTTGTTGGATTATAATGGAATTTATTGATCATGAGTAATTTATTGTAAAAGTGAGGTTGCTGATGTATTTTTAGTATAACGTGTGATGTTGTGATTAAAATATGAAAAAAGAAGGGGGAAAAAACAGAGATAAACAAAGACAGAAACCAACTTAGGCCACTGCAAAATACAAGAAACCAAATTGCTGTTTTTGCCTCTGATTGGTTGATTAGATAGTGCTAATATTTTAGCCAATCACAGACCAGTTATGGAAAAGCTTAGTTCCAATATTAGATTGTTTTAGGCCCAATTAAATTTATAGATAGCACTGTGTATGATGAACAAAAAGATCATTACAGCATTCAAATCTGTCCCAAATTGTCTCCTCTTAGTCAACCAGCTGAAATCTTGACCCTTTTACTTTCAAGATCCAAGAATTGACTCACTCAATTGAAAACCTTACTCAGTTTGTTTTAAGTATTGAGAATATGCCTGAGATTATGTTAATGCTCAACCAAAAGGTTCTTGTCAGATATCTTGTATTCTTAATGATTAAATTTTTATTCATTTTTTCAGGCCCTTCTTTATGGAAGCTGTGTGTCCCAGAAAGACAACAATACCAAGCATGCCTGTGATAAGGAGTTTCAAGCACTTAAAGCCTGCATAAGACAAGCAGTAAGTTTTCTTGGAGACTGGTCAGGGTCTCTTTTCTTTCTGAATTTAATTAGCTTGGATATCATGTTAGATTTTAAACCACAAACTTCAGTTATCATGACAAGATAGTCATTTGAAGGGGGGGGGCACAAAAGTGTCCTTTCATGGAGTGGGGTGATAAAAATAGAAGGTTTGGCTTTTTTTGTGCAGCGTTTTCTTTGTTAGAAATGTCCAGGGTTTGTTTCAGCTTTTAATTTCTTAAACACAAGGAGTAAATGACTGGCTTCAAGGGATAAAGTGAGTTTTCTTTTCCAAGGCTCTCAAATGTTCCTTAAACTGGAGCCAAAGGCAACAATTAGGGTCAAATGAAAAATGGCTTTGGGTTGGGAGGTATAACATTGCAATTTTAAACAATTGCAAAAGTATTTGGAGTACTTACATACTAAAACATGTACTCTCAAACTAGCTCTTATACTCTCAAGTTAGTCAGCTTTAATCAGAATTAATCAGGTTCATCCTTTCATCAGTGGGTACTGTCCTACAGTGAGAGAGAGATGGGGTTTAACTTTTCATTGTCAAATTGTTGGTGTCATTTTTCGTTAATTTCGCTCTGATTTTAATTAACAGTCATCAACAAAAATTAGGGACTCAAGATAAATAAGAGACTACAGCAAGTCACTTAGACATAGGAATGCTGTGCTTTTTCTACTTAAATTTAAATACTTCTTACCTATAATAATGTAATAATAATCATAAGATACTGAAACAAAATGTTTCATTCCCTATTAGTCTACTGTGAATGAATTGAAAAATAAGTTATTGAGTGTAATACACTGACTTGAAATTAAAACTTTTAAAGATAACTTAACACTAAACTCTTTAGTAGTTTAAAGAAAACATTTAAATTTGATGTGTCCATCACTGTCTACATTTTAATGAATGATCAAATCAAACAATATAATTATCTTAAGGCATTTTCATTTTTGAAAATGTTTTTTTAAGAAATGTGTGCCAGTAAATTGGACAAAGAGTAGTATTTGTATGAGGTTTTGTTTAGAACATATCATGCATAAAAGCATATCAAACAGCTCTGACATTTCATATTTTATGGTGACTCATTATATGTTTTGAAAGTTTTTCAAACAGCACTCCAATGGCTAGTTTATTTAACAAAACTTTCTAAACATCACTGATGCCTTTGAATTAAGAGATGTACTTGACCTCATGTAACTGTTATGCTGTCACATACATTTCCCATCTGCTCCCCTGTGCTCACATGTGTCAATTCCTGCAAGAACACACTGTTAGCTGAGGAAATCATAGAAGCACAATGATATTTTTTAATCCTCAATCTATACACATGCATTCCCTATTGTCCATACTTTTCTCTTTGTTCTGACAAGGAGTATTTGCTCAACAGTCAAAAGCTTTTTTTTTTTGACAAGGAGAATTTGCTCAATAATCAAGCTATTTTTTGTCAGTGGTTTAATTTATGGATGACATTTGCAAGGCAAAACTAGTTTGTAGTCACTATCTGGGGTTTTAGGATTAGACAAAGGTAATAATCAAATTATAGAAAAACTGGTGTGCCTGGCCTTTTTGTTTACCTTATGAGAAGATGTTAGTAAAATAGGGATTCTTATCAAATATTATCATGTAATATTTTATATTTTTATCTCTCTTAAGTTTTCTCATTGTTTGATGATGCATTTTTGTTGCAGGCAAAGAAAATTAAAGTGTAGAGACTTGAAAAGAGAGAACAACTGCACCTATTCCAGGAAAGTTCTGAAGCAGGACGTCACAGGCAACCTGCTCACTTTTTGCGTGGGGTAGAAATATTATAAGAGGAGACATTTAGGCATGTAAATATATAAATACGGTAAACTGCTGCTTAAAGTGCCCTCTCCTCCCCCCCTCCCCCCTCCCCCTTTCATTTATAAGTCCTCGGTTAAAGACTCATCTAACTTTAAACAAAACAAAAAAAAAGCATCAAATTATAAGTTCCCCCCGATATAAGCCCTGTTCTAGCTTTTCTTGTTTCCACAATACCAAAGTAGGAAAAGCCTCAGTGCTGTGACTTGGACATAGAAATTCTAATGATAGAAGAGCAAAGATGAACTTTTGAGAGAAAAGTCTGTTTTCTCAGTTTCGCTATGTACCAGTTTTCTTCATGTTGCTAGTTTTTATTCTGTGCCAAATGTATTGAAACTAATTTGATTTATTATGACGTTTTGAATCTTAATGAAAAAAGAGTAAATAAAAAACGTATTTTGATCAGCACTGCACTAGCCTTCTATTCCGGTTACACGTTCCCTCGGGTATAGGCCCCTCTGTTAATAAGCCCTCCTAAAACCCCTTACGAAGTTGTATAACCCCTGAGCTTATAATCGGTAGGTTTGTTTGTGTTGTGGAACTTTAAAGATTTGCCTCAGAAGGAATGGTGCTATTCTTAACTCAAAATTTTGATTCCGTTTTGATTGAAGTATAAAATCGAATAGAGACGTCGGCGAGTTGGTCTTCAATCCAGTACAACTTATTAGAAGTTGAACATATAGAAAAGTGAAATATCTTTAGTAAAAAAACAATTTTGGTTTTTTTTTTTGTATAAGGATTTCATGGCGAATAAAGCAAGGTAAACATCGCCAATTACTATAAAAGCTTCAGTCGCGAACGAGTTAAATTCTCAACGTTTCCTCTCGTAACTTAACACCGGGTCACACAATGCGTGACGCTTTCATGAATCAATCGCTTGCTTTTTCTAATGACGTGAGCTCGGGACGCCTGTGCGTAAAGATATTTACATAATTGCTGGGGCGCATTCTGCCAGCATGGGTTAACTGTGCCTACGTTGCTTATTTCTTCTTCTTCTTCTTCCGAGTCAGTTCTCAGGTAGCCGTTAAAATTAATATTCATGTCTAATCCATATCGGGGTATTTTTTAAAATAATTGCAAGTGTCAGTTTCCTTTGAAGCCTACAAACAAAATGAGTTGCTTTCAAATTCGTGTTGTGGAGGTTCCTGACTGCATAGCAAAAATTCAAATAGCCTCCCTTTGTTAAAAATGGTTGTTCGGTTGGCTGATGAAGCTTATTTTCCTCGTGTGACAGGCATGTCACGTCGGCGAAGGATAAATTAACGCGCGCAAAATAATGCAAAAGTTTGATAGCGGAAATTTGTTTCCTTTTTTTTTTTTTTTTAATTGGTTTAGCTAGCCAAGAATAAAGACTACGACTTTTTCAGTATTAATTTCCTAAAGAACAACATAGGTTACGTTTTTCAGCTAATTGTTGTACGCGTGACTTAAACGCATCACGCGATCAAAATTATTGTCTTAGCTCTGAATTTATTTACAACAACGCTTAACAGCAGCTGTAAAAACCTTTACTTTTCTGTGTATTTATTCTCTGCTGCTTATGTGGATAAATGCGATCAGGCTCTGAAAGTGTAAAGGGACAATCAATATTCAGGTACTTAATGTAATAGCCTTAACCCTTAGTAGTCAATTATTTTATCCTTCTTGCAGCAAAATTGTTAATTTAAAGACGGTGAGCAATTTTTTCGGTGTATCGCAAAATAATTTCATTTGCGGTACATATGTCGATTCTGTTGATGAATACGTGTTTGCTTTGCGCTCTAATGGAATATTTATTCTTCACTATTTATCTCTGGAACGTATAGTCTATTATTCGATCCATCTAGTTTCTTTAGATTGTGTGATATCACCGAAAAATGAACTGTACAATGAACTTTCTTAGTGCTGTCAAATCAAAGAAAACATAGCACTTCGGTAAAACTGATCAAAATTAATTTTCTCTTTATAAACATTACTACAATGTCTTGTAAACTGCTGACGAGAATCAAAAACAATCAACTAGTTAAAATGTCCAAATGCTTAGCGAAACACATCGAGATTTAGTGGTAAGATCTTCGGATTTCAGATGGAAAAATCTGCATAGGAGTGTCCACTTTGAATTGTTGTTTTACATTTAATATATAACAACAACAAAAAAGAGGAAAAATTGGCGATTAGTTCGTAAAACCAAAAATTTGAAAGTCAAATGAAAACTGAGTTGGAGACAAGAAGCAGTCAGCTTGTGGATGATGCAGGTTCTAAAAATTACTAATATTCCATTTTTTTCTTGTCGACATTAGGATTTCTTTTCTAAGCATCAATGAAAATAAAACGAAATGAAAAAAAATAGAAAAAAAGAAAAACATACTTTGTCCACATGCTCTTTAGGAAGACGTAATAACTACTAGAGTTTCAATAACTTTTAGTATATAGATAACTTCTCTAGTCTATAACTGTTTACTTCCAAACAATAAATTCTTAATTCTCTAAACCATACCAGAGCTTTCTCAGGAGAGAGGGCAGTGAGAAAAACGCGATTCATCAAATCCCTCGTTCCTTTTTCAACGAGTGATGATAAGAATGCTCGTCCTCTGGCTAGGTATTAAAAATAGGTCCGCAATGCGTACATGTGTGGCTCACGAAATTTAGCTGCTTTTTGTCTCATTGGGTTTCTATTAGAAGAGCTAATATCTGATTACCATTAGATAGTTTTCAATATTGATCCTGTTCATTAATAACACAAGATAACTAGCATACAAAAGTCCCGAAATGTTCATTCTGAAGATGAGAGTTATTGGCCAAACTTTGGTTTGGAGGTCTCATTTTGGCAACAAATGTTGCACATGTAACCCGAGGATTTTAGGAACTGAAAAAACATCAGCATAATCTTCCATAGTGATCTGAGAGATTCAGTCACGATTATGTTTACGTAACAAAGTGGAATTGACTTGTGAAGTTTGTTAGTTGATTGTCTTTTCCAAGGCAAGTGATGTGAAATAAACACTAGGGAAGAATTTCATATGAATATTTTTGACATTTTGTGTACCAGTACACAAGGACAAAACTTTGTAGAAGGGCAGGGACATTCGGGAAATGATGTAATCTAAACTAGAAGCCATTGGGAGCTTGTTTGGTTTGAACGTGTGACTAATTTTGGACAATATATACATGTAAAGTAACACAATGCTGAGAGTAGGTTTCTTTTGTCTATTAGGGTATAAAGTTCAACTTTCAGTTGGTTGAGAGCAAAACGTTTACTATAATTATTGTATTTAGGTTTTGTGGAACTGTATTTTCAATAAAGAATACAGAAAAATTTAGTTGAGGTAGGTAGATATGAGGTTACAAATGGAAGTCAGTCTAGGGAAAAAAGATAGGTACATTACAAGATCAGAACACAAGCAAACTTTTAATGTATCATATGTTGAGTTAAGTACTCTGAAGTAACATTAACGTTGCTAATAATTTTTAACCCAATACCTGGAGGTTTTATTTAACAGAAAGTTAAATAGAGATAGAGTGTCACCATAATAGATTTCAGGAACAGTAATCAGAGACATATCTTAAACACAGCAGAGCAATGTACAGGCAAGTGCATGATGGTATCATATGATTTAAACTACCAGAAGCTTTCAAGTTTTCTTATTATTGAAATTGTAATTTCATGCCAGTGAGTCTAACAAATTCAAGTTATGGGGAGAAATGAATAGGTGAACTTGACATCATCATGCAAATAGTCAACTTCACATCATCATGCAAAGTGCTAATCTACCGTACAAAAAGGTCCAAAACAAACATGGTAAGCAACTGAATTTCATATATCACTTTGTGTTAGAGCACACAAGAGGAAGTGTGAGACCTGCTTCACTCTCATTTGCTAGAACAAGATTGAACTTCTGGTACCAGTCAAAATTCAGAATGACTGTGACAGTTTGGAACTGATCTCTTAAGACTGTGCTTTTAAGGGGTCTACAGATGTGATATAAACGTAACAAATGTCAGTTCCATTGAACTGGCTTCATAAAAACTCAACAAAGTCTAAGCTACATGTAAGTTAATTAAAGTGTACTTTGGTATTCTAAATAAGAAGAAGTAAATTTTTCACAAACAACAAATGTTGAGCTCATAGCATGTGTGCAGTTTAAAGTATTTGAAAATTTTAAAAGTGCTTATCATATGAGAAATCATGTTATTAATTATTCATAATGTATTCGTGAAAGATACACATTCACAGGAAATCAACAAACTGATGGCAGATAAATTTGACAGTATTGACTAAATGAAGTGTGTGCCATCAAAATTTGTCCTTCAGCTGAATTCTTGCTAAGGAACACAATTTTGTCAGTGTTTATCAATATACATAAAAGTATCCAAGCTTTGGTTTATTTTTGTCAGCTACAGCATGTATCAATCAGAACAACCTACTTTGGGTAAATCTGATTGGTTTCTCATGTGATCTATTATTGCTGAGCCTAGTTTATATTATTTTTTACATGAGTTATTACTTTTTCACTCATGATAAATTAAAAAGCTAATCAAAAAAGTGTAATTTTTCATGTCTATCAGTATTGTGATGAATCACCAAACCAAACAAAAAACTGAAAAGGAGGTGTAGTCTTCCAAATAAAGGCCTAATACACATGTATTGCTACCAAGTATAGATACCAATGCTTATCTGAACCATTATGAAGAGAATCTAGAAGACTGCCAAGCTTGAAGGAAGTCATGAAATGTTAAGGTCTGAATAATTCTGGCCATAACTTGGAAAACATAACACTAATCACATTTCAGTTAACATTAAAGCACCAGGCTCCTATTCATATTTTAATAAAAGCGAAACCGCTTTGTTACTGAATTCCAATAGATTACTCCCCAGAGTTTGGAATCAATCACAATAGACATTTAGCACCATGTTAATGACAAACTGCAGTTTCAGGTTAGGCGTTAGACGTTTGTGACTTTTATTGGTTTAGCTATGTAAACATGAAAGTATAATTTCATTTAAAGGGGCCGTCAAATCGAATTGCCAGACAACAGCAGTGTCTGCTTTTCTAATGGCAACAAAGAAGTCCTATTTTCACTCACTGGCTAAAAATTGTTTATTCTATTTGTATTCAATGACATGTAATGCCATGGGGTGGCAGGGTATTCTGCAGTTTAACCAAAATTTTATCTTAGCATTTACTAAAAGAGTGGTTGAGTAATTTTCTCACTGAGCATGTGGCATAAACAGAAATTCAGGATAAAAAACATTCCAGTAAATGACTTACGTGAAATGTGACCGCATAGAGAGTCAATAATGACTCCCAAGTTTCAATGTGGCACAACCTGCACTAAAGGTCCAGACCGTGAAATGTTGGCCTGTGAGAGCACAACTCCACACTGTAATCCACTTAGAAGACAAGTCGACTGTAGGAAAGCCGGCGTGTGTGGTGTGTCTAGCAAACAATCATTTTTCTTTTTCTTCTGGCATTTCAGTTAGAGACTTTT